CAAGGCAAATCAATGAAGTTGAATATTCATAGGACACAGCTGTCTTCAAGTAGCCTTTTCATCAAGGCTTGTATTACTGGGAAACTGCCATGTTCATCAGTAGGGTTGGTTCTTCCTATCTCATTTAATTTTACACAAGCCATCACTTATTCAGCAACCTGCATCCCATGATTTACTATTGAGTAGTTAAGTGAAAGAGGGCCAGATTGACAGAGAAAGACTGACAGAGAGAGAGAGAGAGAAAATATGAACAACATAACAGAGATGCACTCTTGTGGGATAAGAAATATTTTTAAAAGTTGGTCTAATTAGATCTTGAAAAAGTTTCTGCTAAAACCAAGTGTAAATTTTACAACTTAGTCAAATCAATTTCCTAACAATTGCTCATCCAGTAAAGTGCTTTAAGCACACAGGTAACATAAAATTTAATTCTGGTGTCAGTGAAATATTTGGTTCTCATTAATTACATTTTAGTCCTACTTAACACTGATTCAAAACACAGCATGAAGTTTTTAAAATTGATGAATTGTGTTTAAAAGATCATTACTAGGTCTAGAACTATGATACTCTCGTTTTTGGAGATTTTGGTCACACAGTGAGGTGAGATGAAGTTACTGGGAAATCTGGACACAGAAAAAAAGCGAAAGAACTGATTAACAAGTAAACTTTTAATTAGCCTGGGGATAATATGTAATAAAGAGGAGAAACTAGAAGCATAAAAGTTTAGAGTGGAAAGGACTTCAGAGATAATCTCATTCGGTGGTCTACAATCTGTGGGTTCCTAGAGTTTTTGCAAAGGGTCTGCAATTTCATATGCACATTTTCTCCAGCTATGGTCTTAATGTTATTAATATGTAAACCCCACAATTCCCCACCCCTGCCAAACTTGAATAAGTCCTTTAACGTGAAAAAACAGAACTACTGATCCAGTCCAATTCTCTATTAGTATAGCAGAGCTGTTACCCGAGTGCACTCATGCCTACATACAGTGCCCCTCTATATATTTCATTCGTACTTGGGTACAGAAATTAAATCTTTCCTTCACTTTCCAGCTGCTAGTGGCTCCCTCTGGTATTTTCCTAAGTGTCCAAGTGAGATCCTTGCTAGCTAAAATCTTTAGTCCTAGGATCAATAATCCTTTCCTACTTGGGTGCTGGATATACACTACCAATAAACGTTGTGCCCTAAGTCTAGCAGTTACAAAAGGTGGAGCTAAAGAATACAGGTGAGTCAAAAACTCTGAGCTACAGAGTTTGCCACTTTTCAGTTTTAGTTTTCTGTGGCCTTTCCTAACGAAAGCCTACACAAGTCTTTCCCTTTTCTAAAGTTTTATTGTAATTACAGTTCAGCCCCAGAAAGGTAAACATTTGCACCTTCTTCAATTATCTCATGTGTAGTGTGTCTTTCCAACTGGATAAAACAGGAAGAAACCAGGTATTAGACTTCAAGACATTTCCAACTTTGATTAAGGACTCAACAAATATTTGTTGACTTCTAGAGTCAAGGAAGTAGAATTTTATAGAAGATTTAAAAATATACACATAGCTCAATTTAGGTATGGATGGGACAAAGAAAACTGTATCTTTTCCAAAAAATGGTTTAAAAAAGATAAAATTATTTTTTAGCCTTTCCACCTATTCTTGGCAAATAATGCCACATATTTTCCTTTCACATTTTTATCAGTGCATCGTTTTTAAAAAGGAATAATCAGTCCCTCAAAACAGTGGTGTAAATAAGAATTTACAGGCATAGTGCAAATCCCACAAGCTTTAAAAGGAAACAAACCAAACGATAATTTACAGAGCCAAACACAGGAAGAGAACCTTTTGGGTAAATTGATTCCCCTGTTGTGGGCGACTACAGCAAGGGAGTGAAAAAAGCATGGACTCTGGATGCCTATTTTGATTCTGCCAATTACTAGCTGTGACATCCTGAGCGGGTTCTATGAACTTCACTTTCTTCTTGCCTACAAAATGGGGAAAGTGTGTATTTTGTAGAATTCTTAAGAAGATTAAAGGAGAAAATGCACATAAAGTACCTAGCACATGCTAGTTACTCAGAATTAGTTCCACATTCTTCCCTCTGTTCTTTCTTTGGCTGTTCTTTCTCTTCTCTGGTTCCTTTCTAAATCAAATTCAAAAGATGTTTCCTGTCACTTTTTTCCCCACTAATTTTCATTCCATCTCCCCATCTTTGTTTCTTGTCCCTCTCAAAGTCTATCTTGTCCTTTTCCTCCCCATCTTTTCTTTTGAGCTGTTTCCAATACCTATAAGGAATGACTATTTTTAACTAATCTTACTAGCCTCATTTAATCTATTCAGTAAAATCTTTCCTCCAAAGAGCAAAGGAATTTGCAGAGCAAAGAAGAAGACAAACTGGAGGAAGCATACTCCTTTAGTGAATTGAGTTCATGAGCGAAGCAGTACTCCTTTTTATACTTACTCTTCCCATGTATAATCCATAATCCCTCCCCCATGGGCTTCTATATCAAGCCCAGGATAATTACACTTCTGCCTCAAAATAAAATAAAATCCTCTACATCTTGTACTCTAAAAACACCAACTGTATCTAAGTTGGATCAGTATCTCATGCCCTAAGTCTTTGATATGCTTACTTAAATCACTTTATATTTACTCGGTCATCTCACAGTTATCCAAGTTGAAAAAGTCACTTTGGTTTCTCATAAATGGATATGCCACGGCTGACCTCATCAAAAAGAACTACATCCTATCATTAATGAGCATGTCTCGGATTCTTGAGATACGTTTTATAGAGAAGTTAGTAGGTAAAAGAATGAAACAGAGCCCCACAGGGAAAATTCTTGACTTCACATTTTTGACAGATTTGGACTTTAGCTGTGACTTTGCTGAGAGTGGAGATGGGTGCCAACACAGCACCAAAGCTGGGCATACCCTCAGTTCTTACCCTGTGCCTCCCTGAATTTTTAATTTCTGACTGTGTCTACTACCAATAATTTTTAAACCTTCTACTGCACCTTTGCTAGTATATAGCTCTATTCCTCAGATAGCAAGTATATTATCCAAGTTCAGAGATACAATTGAGGAATTAACATGAAAACCATGTTTCCTCAATAAATGAGAAGCTGCTAGTTAGCCTCGAGAGCCTATGAGAAAAACACCGAAATGGTATTACTCAGTCACCAATCTAAAGAGAGAACTTTGACTCAAGGTATAAATGAAATTGTAATTATATAAATATATTTATAAATATTTATACAATTATATACTTATACATAAGCACTTACACAGACTTAGAAAAAAATGTAAGAACATTAATTCAAAAGGACTCACTGAAGAATAAACAGAATTTTCCATGATTTCCTTGAGGAGATACATACTCATTCTTTAGGAAGGGTCCCTCAAAATCCAACCATTAGAAACCATATTCTCTAATTGTGTACTAGCAACACAATAAGCATCTTTTTTTTAATCCCCACGTTGCCGAAAGAGTGATCTTAAAGTAGATGGAAACCTAAAGGTCTCTGAGCAATAGCAATTTATGTTCCTCAAGTAGAAGAATCAATCAATCCAAATCCCAACTGACAAAATAGGTCCATTCTATAGAACAAGTTAAAGTTCTGATTTTGCCACCAGAATCACTACTACCCCTTCAGAGGACTCTATTTAAAGCTCAAAGTAAGAATTGAGCATATGGTGAAGGTGATAAGTCAGACAGTATTACATAGATTCAAGATGGCCTCTTCTAAATAATACTGAAAAAAGCTTTCACCAGCTAAGTCTGAATGTGGCTTTTGTCGGCAGAAGAACTCCACATCTGAAGATTACCGGTAACCTTCTCCACCTCCCTTACTAAATGTTGTCTTATAACCTGAATTTAAAGGTCTTTGCCTTAGAGAGGCTTTCAGTTTTGATACCTTTTGCAAGAAAACGGTAGAGGAATTAAGCTCATTCAGTCACCAGAACCTTTTAGGAATTGTTCCAACCAGGGGTAAAAAAATGAATCATTCTTTCTAACCGTAGGAACATGGTTAGCAACTCTCAGCTGCATCTTTTTCTTCCCCCCCACCCCCCCGGGACATACATAAGTATGCCTTAAAGCACATAGGACAATCAATTACCATAGTGGTTACAACCACAAGCCACTGTACTGCATGATTAATTGAACAGTTGCTCTCCTACAGATCACTTGTGGACCCAAACAATGGAAGGGCCAAAGGAACTAATGTGCTGTACTGGCGAAAACAGCAAGCACCTTCCTATCCGAGTCACCAAAATCGCCTCACTAAACGTCCGTTCCAGGACCAGCAGGATCAATACAATTTATAAAGTAATAATGAAGAAAGCTGTTTCAGGCTAGGATATTGAAAGCCACTCCATGCTACTCACCCTATATTTAACACTCAATCTGCCAATAACACATATCATGGAAAATAATTTTAGGTGGGAACATGGGAATCCTTTGAAAAAAATTTTTAAATATAATGAACAATGATTATAAGGGATGCTTTTTCCATGTAAACAAAAGCCTGAATATTTTGTTACGTGATATTTCTTACATGAACAAAGTGTTATAGAATTTCTTTTCTCTACCAAAAATGGGGCTTACAAAAAAAAGGAGGTTGTTCTTATTCTGAATCTAGCCATTCTTTTACCAAAGGAGCCTGAGGAGTAACATTATCACTTGATCCCAAAAAAGTGCTGTGCAAGAGACCACTTATTGGAACATACATTTCCTGCAGCCAGTACTAGGAGGTCTAATTCTTTCACTTCCATTTGGTCACCAGATTAGGTAAGAAAGAAAGAATAGTAGGAAATCGAAGAAAACAGAAGAGGAGTGAAAAAGGGGGTCGGGGGAAGAGACTGAATATAGGAGAGAGCAAGAAATAAAACAGAAGGCAGGTGACTTGCTTGCCCGACTTTGGCTCTATGGTCCTATGAGCCAAAATGCATACTTAGTGACATGGTATCTCACAGGAAAAGGGATAAAAGGGGTAAGCTGAGAGAGGTCAGGCCATGATGTTAATTTCTTTCCTGTACAAAGACAGTCTCTTGAGGACAAAGGCCTGCCTCTTGTAATGTAATGTCATAGTCCAGATGAGAGAGTTTCCTTCGAGGGAAGTTGGTGAGAAGTTCAAAACGTTCATTTGGATATCCTTTAGACTGGACATGCTTCACCAAAGCCTATGAAAAACAAGAGAAAAGACAAAGCTGTTAGATGGAAATAAAAAGAAAGAATATATTAAGGTATTAAATATCCTATGTTCATTTTTATCATGTCAGATGAGATATCTGAAGTTTAAACTATTCTTTCACATAGCCAAAGCTTACCCTTGTGGAAGGGCCAATATAACTCTTTCGATGGGGAGATAATAAACCTGTATCCAATAATTTAGGACCATTAAGTGATACTGAAATATACAGGATTATGTTTGTTTCTCCAATAAACCCAATTTCTATTTATAAAATTACTGTCCTCTTTTTAAAGATTTTATCAATTTCTTTTCTTTTCATCAGAGAAGATATGTCCTTCAGTCTACCTACAATCTTGCCTCCAGTGCACTGAATCCCTTCTTGCCTTCTTAGAAACTGTGCCACTACAGAATATTCCTTTGTAAGTATCTTCAACATCTCCCTCTCTACAGATGCTTCCCATCAGACTTACGCATGTTCAGTCTTTCCTTCAATCATTTTTTTCCCTCTGGTTATTGCCCATTCTCCCACTAGCTTCAAAACCAAACCTCTCAAAACAGTGATCTATACTTCCTCTGTTCATTGTCTCATCTCCCATTCCCTTCCAAATGCTAGACCAGGGAGATAGCTCTGGGTATCAGCACCAGTGGCCACAGCCTACTTGTACTCACAGTCTTGAAGAATCAGATTAACTATCTCCTGCCACAGCAAGCAGCTAGGTATGGACACTTGATCTAAGGGGGATTCACTCATACACTAGGCTAAGCCAGTCAGACCCATTCTCTTTTCCAGGGGTTAGAAAACACAGAGGAAAGGCCCATTAGCTGTGGACTTCAGAGGAAAAGGCCCTCAAGCATCACTATGATGAACCATGTACAAGCTGAGAGGTAAATAAAAACCACCAGTATAGAGAGAAGAATGGTGTGAAGCAGAAAATCACAAGAGGGAAACAAAACAAGCCCCATGAGAGAGACATAGGAAAACAATCTTGGTTCTTAACCAACCCCTTTGCAGTTTCAGCTACTAGGAAACCCAAGAACCCCACTATTATGTTCAAAATAACCACCCCACTCCCCTTTGCTAGGTAATAACTTCAGCTGGGTTTCTATCCCATGCAGCCACGAACAGAAAATCCTTGACTGGACAGACCCTATGTAACTTGCCTAAGATAATTCAAGAAGGTAATAAAATACTTAGAATTAAGATTCACCACAGTAAGTTTTCAGTTAGGGGCCAAACTAAATACCATCTATTTCAAAGACTCATAAAGCCAATTATGCCAATTAATTAGTTTCTCTGCTTCAAGTAAACACTTCCAATTAGATATACTCACCAGCAGTTTAGCTTGCTCTGGAAGAGTGATCTGTTCCCTTTTTCCATCTGGATACCGCAACATCAACTGTGCTTTTGGTCCTAAAGAAAGGGTTTAAAAAAAAAAAAAAAAAAAAAAAAAAAAAAAGATACAACAGCTTAAGACAGAAGACTAATGTAAACAAATATATAAACCCCTCCAGTAACATTCAAGTTTTAAGTAAAGCAGGTCTAGAATGTAACTCACCATTTACATCTATGCCCTCCACTATTCCATCTGATTTTTCAGGTGACATCTCTAGTATTTCTGAATCCACGGCTGGCAATCCTTGGTGGTTTGTGGCTGTTCCAGGCTCAGTTCTGGCTGGGGGCTCAGTCAGTGGCCTTCTATTCTCCTCTTTTCTATGCCCCAAATCTTTATGGGGAGATTTTCTGGACTTGGCAAGATTCTCCATCTCCTCTTCTTCATCAGAGCCACAAACGGATATGAACTCCTCACTGCCAGAAAAAAGTTCAGATTCAGATTCTTCATCTGAGCGGCTATCCTGTTTTGTCTGTGTTGAATCAAAGTGTGTCTCTTGCAAGGAGGCTCTGATGGCAGCTTCTAGCTGGCTGTCTTCACTTGCATCTATAAGGCTCTCCTGCAAGTTGCAGTCATAAAACATGGGTGGAAAGAAAAAGAAAACAGTTAAACCCAAAAATAGATAAAGTCAAACAGGACATGAGAAATATTAACAGCTTGCCAATATTATTTCCTGCTGAATGTTTCTCTTTACTAAATTTTAAGCTATTTAAGTGCAACAACTTTGTCTTACACAGCCAAGATGGAATGTATATTTTAAAAACAAAAATAAAACTGTGCTACGACCTGCCACAACGGTGCTGCAAGCACAAGTTTTCTTTACATCAAAATTAATAAAATCAAGAAAACGGTTTATTCCTGGCCCAGAAAAATACAAGAATTAAGGTTTTAAATATAAAGCCAAACACTAGTTTTTAAAATACTCAATACAGAAAAGGATGTCTACCTTGCTCCTTATTATATTCTTCAACTAGCACTGCTCTGACACAGAGAGGATAACAACAACTCAGTAATCATCATTTTGCAAAAAATCTAACAGATCTGTAACATTCAAACCAAAATGAAACAGCATATAATAAATAGGGAAAAACAACAATTATATTTTCCCAAGCTTAATTACAATGAAGGTTTTCATTGTGATCATGAGAAAAGCAAATTCCAACAGTTTTCCGCTAGGTAAAGTTCTGTCACAAGTATCACTAAACTGATTAAGTTACAAAATATGGGTTTTTTTGAATGGAACTTATTTAGATCCTAACTCAAATCATTAAAAAAAATTTTATAAGTTAACAAAATTTTGTAAATTTTGTAAGATGAACAGTAGATATCTCCTGATATTAAAGAATTGCTGTTAATTAAGGACGTGTTACTGCCATTGTGATTGTGTTTCAAAAAAATAAAGAGCCTTTATTTTTTTTGTGTTTTTTTTCTTTTTTTGTTTCTTTTAAGAGTCTTTATCTTTTAAAGATACATGCCAAAGCATTAATGAATAAAAAATGAATTCTTAGATTTATTTCAAAATAATGTGAATAGGATGGAATATAAATGAAACAAGACTGGCCACATGCAATAATTACTGAAATTAGTTAATGGATACATACAGGCTCAATAAACTCCTACTTATGAATATGCTTAAAATTTTCCACAATAAAAAGGCAAAAAATATATGAGTCAATAACAAAAAACTAAAGGAACCTCATTTTGGCTTTTGTATCATATAACAAAAAAAATTAAATCATACAGCAAAAAAAAAAAAAAAAAAAAAAAAAAAAAAAAAAAAAAAAATAAGGAAAAAATGTTGAATAAACTTAAGGCTAAGCTACCACCAAAAAAAGGGTAAGTATGTGACCTGCAATGGCTTTGAAGTGGATTGCAGGTTCATAATAATGACGGTGCACAGCATGCAGTTTGATTTTAAAGACTGTCTAACATGGCAGACACTACAGACTTCCTATCCAATATCCATTCTCCTTTCTTTCTTTACTTACAGAATCCTAATCATGTCTATAAAAGAAAGCACACCCAGCTAAAAAATTCCATTTATCAATTTCCCTTTCAGCTAGAAAAAAATTGTGATATGGAGCTAGAGAAGCACTTACAGAGAAATTACAGAACTCAACACACATAATAGAGAAGTCTGAAATTAATGACTAAGTTTCCATCTTAAATAAAAAAAGTACCCACACAGAAAAAGAAAATGAAATTAAATCCAAACAGCAGAGAAGGAAAGAGAAAGAACAAAAATCAACAACCTAGAAAACAAAAGAAAAATTATTAAAACCAAAAGCTGGTTGTTTAAAATCAGTAAAACTGATAAGCCTCTAATCAGATTGTCAGGAAAAAGAAACCACAAATTACCAGTAACAGGGGATTAATAACAATCACTATAGATGCTACAGGCATTAAAGAGAATAACAAGGAAATATAATGGACAGCTTTATGTCAATATATTCAACACCTCAGATAAAACGGACAAAGCCCTGGAAAGACAAAACCTACTAAAAAGCTCATTAAAGAAGTAGTAGATACTTGAGTAGTCCTATATCTATTAATAAGTTGAATCTGTAGTTTAAAACTTCCCACAAAGACTCCAGATCGAGGTGGCTTTATTGGTGAATGTCATCAAACAATAAGGAAGAAATAAAATCAATTTTACACAAATTCTTCCTGAAAACAGAAGCAGGAAAAAACACTTCCCAATTCATCAAAGGCCAGCATTAACCTAATACCAAAACCAAAAGAAGGCATTACAAGGAAGACAAAACAAATGACAAAGAAACTATAAACCAATATTCCTCGTGAACATATAGACCCAAGAATTCTTGACAAAATTTTAGCAAATCAACTGTATCCATAAGAAACATATAGCTAACATCAAAGTTAATGGTAAAAGCGTGAATACTTTCACCCCTACACCAGAAGCAAGTTAAGGATGTCTAATCTCACTACTTCTATCTATCTTTGTATTGGAGGTCCTAGTTAAGAAAAAGAAAAGGCATAGAGATTGGAAAGGAGGAAGTAAAATAAGTCTTTATTTGTCGACGACATGACCATCTACATATATATAAAAAATTCTAGGGGTGCCTGGGTGGCTCAGTCAGTTGAGTGTCCGACTTCGGCTCAGGTCATGATCTCGCAGTTCACGTCGGGCTCTGTGCTGACAGCTCAGAGCCTGGAGCCTGCTTCAGATTCTGTGTCCTCCTCTCTCTCCGCCCCACCCCTGCTTGTGCTCTGTCTGTCTCTGTCTTTCAAAAACGAATAAACATTAAAAAAAAAATTCTAAGGGATCTACAAAAAAGCTACTAGAACTAGTAAGTAAATTTAGGAAGGCTGCAGCCTACAAGGTCAATATACAAAAACTGTAAAATATTGTTCAGAGAAATTTAAGACTTAAATAAATGGAGAGATACATGTTCATGGACCTGAATACTCAATATTGTCAAGATGTCAATTCTCTCCAAAATAATCCATAAAGCAATGCAAATCCAATCAAAATCCCAGCAGCTTCCCTTGCTAAAAGGCAACCAATAGAATGGGAGAAGATATTGCAAATGACATACTGGACAAAGGGTATTCAAAGTCTATAAAGAACTTAACAAACTCAACACCCAAAAAAACAAATAATCTAGTGAAGAAATGGGCAGAGGACATGAAATAGACACTCTTCCAAAGAAGACATCTGGATGGCTAACAGACACATGAAAAGATGCTCAATATCACTCATCATCAGGGAAATATAAATCAAAATCACAATGAGATACAACCTTATACCTGTCAGAGTGGCTAAAATTAACAACTCAGGGAACAACAGAAATTGGTGAGAATGCGGAGAAAGGGGAACACTTTTACACTGTTGGTGGGAATGCAAACTGGTGCAGCCCACTCTGGAATAGTATGGAGGTTCCTCAAAAAATTTAAAAAAAGAAAGTGACAAACTGATTCTAAAACTTATGTGGGAACACGAAGGATCTGAAATAACCAAACAACTATAAAGAAGAATAAAGTTGGAGAACTTACACCATGCAATTTCGAGATTTACAAAGCTACTATCACTAAGACAGAGAAAAGTGGTGTAGAGAAAGACATAACATAATCACTGGAAGGAAGAGTCCATAAACCGACACATATATATGATCATTTTTTGACAAAGGTGCAAAGGGCAATTCAATGGAGAAAGGGTAATATTTTCAGCAAATGGTGCTGGAACAAGTGTACAGCCATATGCAGACAGACAAAAAGCCCCAACTCAACCCTATCCTGACACCATATACAAAAATTCATTCAAAATGGATCACTGACTTAAGAGCTAAAAATAAAAAAAACATGGGATAAAATCTTGGGTTAGGCTAAGATTTCTTAGATAAGAGACAAAAAGCACAAAGTATAAACGCTGATAAACTGGATTTCATGAAAAATTTAAAATTTGCTCTTCAAGGGGCGCGTGGGTGGCTCAGTCGGTTAAGCATCTGACTTTGGCTCCGGTTATGATGTCGCGGTTCATGGATTTGAGACCCACATTGGGCTCTGTGCTGACAGCTCAGAGCCTGGAGTCTGCTTCAGGTTCTGGGTCTCCCTCTCTTTCTGCCCCTCCCCCACTCATGCTCTGTCTCTCTCCCTCAAAAATAAATAAAAACATTAAAAAATTTTTTTAAAAAGCTGTAACTGTTCTTATACCTGGCTGGCTCAGTTGGTAGAGCATGTGACTCTTGATCTCAGGGCTGAGAGTTTGAGCCCCACATTTGGTACAGGGATTAAAAATAAAATCTTTTTTTTTTTTAAATAGCTATAACTTTTCAAAAATAAAATAAAGGCTAACTTATTACAAACATAAAAGCAAATAGATATGCCCACATGACATGCAATGGCTTTGACTGCAGATAATAACACTCCGTACCATGTATGTTGATTTTAAAGAATGGCACTATATCAGACACTACTAGTTTCCTATCTCACATCCAGTCTTCTTTGCTTTCTTAACAGGACCTTAATTGTATTTGTGCAAGAAAATATGTCCAGCTAAAATAAGCAGAACTCTTATCTGTATCTGTTTACTTTTGTACAGAGGCACTACCCCCATCTTCCTTGTCCATGCTTGGATATAATGCCTGGGAGCAGAGCATCTATATTGTGATTGTACGAACAAGCCAACAGTAAGGATGGGGGGATGGGAGGGAGGAAGAGGAGAAATCTGGTTTCTTGACATCCACAGAAGTCACATTCTAGACTGCCTGCCTCGACTTCTTGTTGAACAAAGTAGATGTCTTCTTTGTTTAAGTCATTATCTGTTGGTGTTTCTCTTGCACACAGTTGATCAGTATTTGTAACATTCATAGAATTGTATCAGAAGTGGGGTCTGAGGTACTGGTCACCCAAATCATCCCTATGTATTTGTCCAATGTTATGGTCCCATTCTTTCCCACTAAACGTCTTACTTTTCATAAGAGACCTGGTGAAGTTGTTAACTTAATTTATGTTGTTGTAATTCAGCAACTCACAAGCTCAGGCTCTGGTTTTTGAAAATATCAGCCTTAGGTATGACTGCAAAAGATAAGAAACTCTCTCAGGGCAATTATAAAGACTCTTTGGGGGTTTTTTGCCTTAAAAAAGAATTCTACCTAAGCAAAACTTCTCAGAATAATGAAAAAAACAAAAAAAGCTGAAACAATGTTTTGTACTACTGTATCTACCTCAATAAAAATTCTCTGAGTAGGAGAAGGAGCCTATACCGCCTTGGCAAGCATGCATACCATTCTGTGTCTGTGTGTTTTATTCTAGGTGATAAACTTAAGGAACAGTTTCATAACTGCATTATATGGACTGTTAAAGTCATATCCTCTAAAACTAATTTTATTCTCACTGCCATCAAACCCAAATAGCTCCTACCACCAAATGAGAGTCCCATTATCTCTGAAGGTCTCTTACTCACCACCAATCTTGACTTCAATTATCAAACAGGTCTGCCTCATAATAGCGTATTATAGAAATTAAGTACAGAAATAATCTCTGGGTGGGCCAGGGAGCCAGACCCCAAAGCTATATAACCAGTACTAATGTCCAGCTACACTATGAAAGCTGTCTAGGAAAAATACCATTTCTACTGCTGCTTAGACTTGGATACCAAAAGGCCTGACATGCTACCCCTGAAGAAGTGGATAGCTTGCCGTTATCAGTTCTCCTACCTACCGGTACACATTCACACTGTTTATTTCTAAATCCAGGTCTCCGGTCACATGCCCTTACCCTAACTGTAAAGGAGACTAGGAATATGAATCTTATAATCTCACTGAGAAGATAGGACACCTATGTGGGAAATTATCAAAATATAAGGAGGGTGTCTAAGATGTGCAGCCACAAACTTTAACTTTTACATTATTACCTTTACTCAAACATTTTACACAAGATATTTATATGCAATTACACTTAATTGCCCATCACCACTTCTCAGTCATACTTACTGAACGGGCACATTTTTTGGGGGGACTGCTAGAAAGTCCATCCAGTTGCCCATGTTCACCCAGAAATCCTGTCACTTGGTCCAAGAAAGAAGATACATCTAACTGGTGCCACTCTACTAGCTTCTGACCTAAAAATTAAAAACCAGGGTATATAATAAAATCAATACTCTTTCTGAATATTCTCATTAAATATTTCTTTTGGTATATGCATAATTAAATTACTGGGAACACACTCCACCCCTCACCAGCCTAAGTTACATAGTATGTTCATAAACTAGAGGATACATTAATTATAATCAACCTAAGCGATTCCTGGCCATCATGACAGAGCAGCTACTTTACCTGCTGATATCATTAACTGCCATTTAGGAAGAGGTTCAGACAAAGCAGTATCCGTATGAAACTCAAATTAATAATAAAACTAACTCTACCCTCTGCTTCTCTGATGGGATTACAACAGCCACTGAACAATCTTAATATTTTAATGATAGAAAATCAAAGGAGATTCCTTATAAAATAACAAGAAAGAAAAAGTTATTCTTTCAAAGGACAAAACTACACAAAAATATAAAAATACTCCCATCTCCCAAAGTTACCAGAAACAGACTCCTAAATATATACTTCATAGATATTTAAATATTTCTCACGGACATGAACAAAAACCCTTCATCTAAAGTATTACAAATAATTCTCGGGATGCGTGGTGGCTCAGTCGGTTAAGCATCGACTCCTGATTTTGGCTCAGGCCACAATCTCACAGTCCAGGGATAGAGCCCTGTGTAGAGCTCTGCACTACAGTGCAGAGCCCACTTGGGATTCTCTCTCTCTCTGCCCCTCCCCTGCTCATGCTCTCTCTCTCTCTCTCTCAAAATAAATAAATAAACATAAAAAAACAAATAATTCTGAAACTGGATCCAAGTCAAATATTAAAGGTCAATTATTTAGATAAGTGAAAGAGAAATAAGTTAAAGGCTGTAAGCTGACATAAATCTTACCTGTCCGTGGATCCAAGATAGAAACATAGGGGAAATCCCCTAACTTATAAAACTGTATGTATCTCTGACCTTCTTCACTGTCGTGATAAACCTGTTAAGTCATTGATATTAAAAAAAAAGTGTCAACTAGATCTTTGTTAAATATACCAACAGCAATTAATTATCCAAATACACCTTTGGTATATGTTAGATTTTCACTCCTGTCTTAGATAATTAAAGCCATCTGATGTGAACTCCCTCAACTTCCTGCCTTCAATGCCTCTGGAAACTTGTATAAACATATCACTCTGTTCTTTCTCTCTTCCCAGTTCAGAAGAGGTATTGCCCTTCCTGTTGTTATCTGTCCATCTATGTCATTCCTGACTTTCAACCATATACATCTTAATAAATCACAATGTACTATATATTATATGGTTCAATGCCTGGCATAATGCTAGGCAAAGAGATAATCAACAGGTGCTGAATAAAAGGTTACCATTCAGAAAAATCATGTTGAATTTAGGGGCCTATAACACACGAGAACAGGCAAATCAATAGCATATCTTGCATTGGGAAAAGAATTAAGTTCATTCAGAAGTTTTTATTTTCAATTTATTTTTCATAAAATAAAAAACCAGAGCAAGATCATCTAACCTTAGCTTGGATCATTTATATAAAAAGAAACTAGAACCAGTAAGACCCTAAGTGATAAATATAAGGACACACAGATGGGAGTATCAAACTCAAGCTAAAATCTAGGCCTTAGTCAAATGTTTTTCCATTACTTCAAGAACTTCTATATCAGTACTGTCAATTATAGTAGCCACTAGAACATGTGGTATTGAAGCACTTGAAATGTGGCTAGTCAGATACTGGTTAAATATAAAATACACACCAGATCTTAAAGACTTAACACCAAAAAACAAACAAACAACACCACTTCATATTTTAATATTAGTTTTATATGACAGAATGTGACTTTATAAAAATATATTAAAATTAATTCCACTTATTTCTTTTGACCTTTTTAAATGTGGCTACTGGAAAAATTACTTATGTAGCTCACATTATATTTCTGTTGAATAGTATAGTTGTACATTCTATTGAAATATATCAACTCTTCTGAGATATAAATACTACGTGGCTTACATGGGTTGGTTCTTTTTCCTCCTTCCCTTAGGAGTTCTTCATTGCTGACCTTATTTTCACTTGTCCTTACTACTTCAGCCATTATGGGTAGTTTTACTTTTTCATATATCACAATTTAACTGTTAATTTTTTTCCCATTTTATAACCTACTGCCTCCTCCCCAACATCTCATACTACAATAGTAAAATACAACAAAAATTTTGATTAATTCTCCTCACCTGCCAGAAAATGAAATGTTCCCGGATAATATTCTTCACAGCTTCATTGCTCCACACATCACGGTTGAGGCACTGGCATGCAAAGTCTTGTACATTTTGAATGTTTATCATTAGCCACTTATTTTGCATCTGGCCGCACTCTTTGGCCTGTAGAGTAAAGTTATATAACATTTGTCAGAAACACTTTCTATTTGGTAACTGATATGTTTCAGAATTCAGAAGCTGTCCTCATATAAATACAAAATTTTTTCTCAAATATGACACCTAGAGTTTTCAGTATCTATACATTAATTTGAGTATATGTATGTAATTACAAGGTTCATTTTCAAGCATTTTTCAAATTTAAATGAACTGCTTTTCATTTATACACTGTTATTATTCTAATGGCTAGATTTTTTTGTACATTAAACATCTTTACCTAAAAAAGATTCCACAAACTAGGTCAAAAAATCATGTAATCCTATCATATCATCTCTTCCAATCCCTATCCACAAATATCTCTCCTTTTAAACAAATGTAAGCAGTATGTATCTATTGCTATTTTATAGAACTACCCTAGACATTTCAGTAAAAGCTGTTGAGGGTTTCTTCTCTTGGGGTTATTATTCCTAAGAATGGGTTTCAAAAATGAGATCACAGGATCACAGACTATTTCAGAATGATCTCCAAGACTCCCCAATGTATAATACAAATATCAATCATGAGTATGTACTTTTTGCCTCACAGTTCCTCATTATCACAAAGACCTAAGAAATGTTGATGAACAGGAAAAGAATGGCACAAAAGCAAATGAGCAAATGCTACCTCAAACCTCTGCACAGGAAGTGAAATGAAAGCCATAGTTTTGAATAATTTTGTCCTAGAACAATATTCTTTTCCTAATCAATTTGACATGGGAAAATCTTAAGAATCAATTAACTCAGATTAATAACAATTGAAAAACATAACATTTTGAAAGTATCATAAAATGCAAAACTAAGAATATCTTCTGTTTTAAGGTTTATGCAATCTTGAAAATACTATTATCCTATTGTTTTGTATGAATCCCCCAGAGAAAATCATTTTCTAATATTCACTACTGATTCCACAAGTGAAAACACAAGTTCTAAAAAGAATTATCCATGTATTTGAGTCAGGAAGCTGTATTCAAAGGCTTAAAGTATATAAATATAATAACTCCTTGCTCCTAGGATGTAGTAGTGCCCCACTTACTTCCTTACCTATAGCATGCATACAGATTTCATAAATGAGTAGTAAGTAATTATACTGTTTTAATGGAAGAAAAACTATTTGAGAATAAAGAAAAAATTAACACACAAGGTAAATTTACATCTGCCTCGACTACAGCACTTGACAAGGAAAAAAATGTGTAACGTCAAAAATAATAAAAGTCCAGGGGAGCCTGGGTGGCTCAGTCGGTTAAGCATCCGATCTCAGGTCAGGTCATAACAGCATGGTTCATGGGTTTGAGCCCACGTCAGGCTCTCTGCTGTCAGTGCAGAGCCTGCTTTGGATCCTCTGCCTCCCTCTCTCTCTCTCTGTCCCTCCCCAGCTCGTGCGCTCTCTCTCAAAAATAAATTTTAAAAAGCTCAGAGTTTAAAAATGATGCATTCATTTGATTTCTATTTTTTAAAAATTCATTCATTCACATTCATGCTTTCATTAGTTCAGATTCATTCATTCACCAAGTATTTGAGTATCTACTGTGTTTCAGGTACAGTTATGGATGGTGGGTTATAGTAGTTACCAAAACACAAAAACCCCTGCCTTCTTGAAGCTTACATGAGGCAAAACCTTATACCAGCAAAAACATCTGAAGATCTATTAAGAAACTACTGCTAGAAGGAAGGAACCACAGAAGATACAAATTTCATGCAAAGCAACATCTGGACTAACTATAAGAGAGTCTTAACACAATCTCACTTAGTATACAAATTATATGAGTCAAGGGCTAGAGGTGTAAGTGGACCATGGGACAATGATGAATCTTCCCTCTTGGAATCTATTAGGCTGTTCTGAGTCAATATTTAAAAGCCATTACAGGGAGACGCAAGGGTAAATATGGCTACACCAAATAGGTATGTGATGGGATTTATCATGACAAGGGGGAAACAGTAAAGACTAACCTCTCTCTCAGTCCCAGACAGATCAGGAAAGTATGAAAAACAAGGATATAGAGGAAATATATATATATATATAACACTAAGAAGGAATATACACAGTACTTTTTTATGGAAATGTTAATTATTTTTATTCACATTTATAGCAAGTACTTTTGAAATTACTCTTAGTAATTAGGACTAGGTGCATGTGTAACTGAATGGCAACTTTAACAAATATGCATTAAGGAATATCAGGGAAATTGTTCTGACTCTTTCTGTACAATGTATTCCAGATTATGCCATTCAATCATTTAACACAGATTTAATGAGGGCCAACCATGTACCAGAAACTCTCCCAGGCACTGTGGAACAGTAAATAAAACAAAGTCCCTGTGTTCATGGAACTTATGGGCTAGTGGAGAAATAAGAAAACCTAAGAAATGTTCTGTTGCCCAGGTCAGATCATTCATCCTAAGTGCTATGCTCACTCAGTTCCAGCTACACGGGTTTTCTTGGCTGTATCAGAAATAGGCCTAGATATTTCCAATATCAGTACCTTTACACTTAACTATTTTGTCTGCTCTTCCCTTGGACATTCCTATGATTCATAGTCCTTCACTCTATTCAGACTTCTATCAAATCTCATCCTTTCATAATCTTCCCTGATCTTACTATCTAAAATAGTTCTGTTCTATCACAATTATAGACATATGTGAAACTTATGAAATCAACCTTGCTTTTAACTTCCATTAACAACACTTGTACCTTTAAAAAAAAAAGTTTATTTATTTATTTGGGGGGAGAGAGAGAGAGAGAGAGAGAGAGAGAGAGAGAGAGAATATCCCAAGTAGGCTCCGCATGCATGGTCA